ACATTTTACATAATGAAATGAAGTATGTGAATAAAAAATATTTTTCACAAAATTCCACTCATATTATTTCGCGATAGTTAAACGAATAAAAATTGCTTTTCAACACAAAATATTTCTATGAATATTAATCAAAAATTTATATCAAAAAAAAGAAAGTGCAATTCATTGTTTCTATTATTATTATTTTTATTATTATTATTATTATTATTAACAATAACGATTATTCTTATTATCATGATAATAAAACAAAATATTCTCAACTGAATGAAATTTTATTCAGGTGATATTGAAATAGGAGAGTATGTTTAACATAAATTTCGTGTTCATGAGGTTATTATTGATATTATTATCATTATTATTAAACTATCAACTTTTATAGTCTTCTGTAAAACACTCTGCTTTAAAATTTTACAACTCTTCCAGTTGGTACATTTACATTAAAACCATCTGGCTTTGGTGTTCACTATATAGAAAAGCTAGACATAAAAATATTATTTATTCCACTTTGAAAATACTTTATTGTTTGCTTTTAAAGTATCAGTATAAACAATTCTTTTTTACTATTTTTATTTTATTTTTTTTCATCACTGTTTTCACTTTTATTATTTTTATCTTGACTCACATTTTTACGTAAAAATAAAATTTTTTTTTTTATTGCTTCAAAACTTTTACGAATTGACCGGAAACTGTAGTTCAACATCAAACTTTATTTATTTTAGTTTATTCTCATTGTTTTATGTGCTTGTAACAAGTTTGAATTATCGAAATAGTTTATACAACTTGTATTCTACTTTTAAACTTGCATAAGCTTTAATTTTATTTATGATCTTGTTTGTTGGATATTTACACTTATTGAACATGCAATTATTACATTATAATACCCGTATATGTAGTATTTTATCAGTTTACCGAAAAGAATAGCCCCGATATATATAATGAGTCTCTTTTTAATTTATATTCATCAATTTTGTATTCGAGATCTGATGGATGTTATTGATTGCATGCTTTCATGGAATATATATTTTCCATTCCAATATACATTTGATGGATTTTAATTAATTAATTAAACAAATTCAATGATGCATCAAACAGCTGGAGATAATCTTTGGTAGCTTCTTTTTCGGTTTAAAAATAGCATCGTTTTTTATTTTCATCTTCAATGTTCCACTGACCTACTTGACTTCTTTTGTAAACTTCAAAAATGATAGTAGAAAAAAAATTTCATTACAAGTACTCTGAATTTATTTTTAAAAATGTTATTTAATGAGAAGCTTTTGGATACAATTGCATTTATTATTCGGCAATAAAATAACCGAAATTTTTTAAATAATTAATAAAGTGATTTTTATTGATGAAAAAACAATTGGATGATATTTTGAAGAAATAATTAGAAAGCAAAAATTATGTACAAAATAATTTCACATTGATTTGAATAATATTACTTGAAGCAGAACTGAAATAAATGTAAACTGGTGTACTTTCAGAGGCAATTCATTTGATGAAATTATAATATATTTTTTTATAATGTATCTTATTCATATTTAAAAAGGAATTTTTATAAAATAGTTGAGTAATTCAGTTCTATAAGTAAATATAATTTTTTTCAGTTGATTTCACAAAATTTTATTTTGAAACTGCAGGAAAACCTTTTCTATTCATCCAAGTTGAATAAAAGCGACGCAAGTGATACAGGGTCGAGGTCGACAAAGCTCACCATTCTGCTCGGATCGATGTTCATGTTTTCTCTCTCTCTCGTGCTTTAAATTTCCTGCTCGCCCAACGTAAATTCAGAACCTACCCCTATATGTGCAAAAGATAAAATAGCGAGAGGTATACGTATAGGGTCATGTAGTTATAAAGAGAGAAGATCACGTATGCTTCATCTTCTCTTTATTTCACAATATTTCGTTTTATTTCATCGCAATCATGACATACATGAAATAAATCAAAAAAAAAAAAAAAAAAAAAAAAATTTTGCAATTTCAATCAAATAATTAGAGAGACAATAAGATTTTAATCGATAAATCGTTAAAATATCGTTTGTATGTAGTTGGAAGATTTTTGTTTTTTAAAAAATTTTTATTTAAATTTTTATAATGAATTTTTTTGTTTCAAATCACTGATGTTAAATGGATTAGTTGGAATGATACTATTTGATTTCGTACCAGAGAACTACATTGCGAACAAGTGATATTTTTTGAATGATAAAATCGAAATTTTGAATAGTTGTAATAAAATTTTTTTTTTTCAATTGACATTACTGCAAATTGTAGTGTTTTATTTTAAAGCATTTGAAGTGTTTTAATCCTACGATTAATCCAGTGACATGTATGGTACAACCAATGTTATTAAAAAAAGCTTTAGAGTAGTACAATATAGACTAATATTATTAAAAACTAAAACTATAGACTGTCAATTAATATTATTAGAGAATAATATTATTATTTTATAGGCTGATGTTATTAAAAACAGTTTAAACTTTAAGTGGAATTATATATATTTTAAAATAAGTCCAAATAATAACTTCAGATATTAATAAATAATGAAAAAGTTTATTAAAGATTGACAGCTATTAATTAATTAGAAAGAATACGTCCGGTCAGCTCAAAGTCTCAGTCAAAAACTGGAGATAAACAAACTCTCCCCTCGTTGCTATAAACATTCTAACATTGTAGGGTTAATTTGATGTGATTTATTTATTAATCAGCATTGTAGTCACCGGTTCAACACGTTCAAGTGCATTAAAATAAAACACTTTTAAATTTAAAATTTGGAATGATAGTAAAATTTTTATAAATTAAATAAATTGCGATCGTCCCATATGGAAAAAAATATATAAAAATATATTAAAATATAATTATTCGGCCAAATCTTGTATAATTAAATATTAAAAAAATGTATAATTATATAATTAACTATATAAATATATTTAAGTATATTTCTATGTATTTAATCATACAAAATTTAGCTTAATAATTAAATTATATTATATTTTAATATATTTTTGAAATAAAATGTATTTTTTCCATGTGGAATTACTTAAAATAATTTATTAAAAAGATATATTTTTACAGTGCTCGATTATTTTAAATAGAATTTTCTAACTATTGATTTTTTCTAGTGTTTTATTTTCTTATTAAAATTCATGATGTCTAAAAAACCAAGAATTAATTTAATATCACTTGTATCCAAATTTATCATAATCTTAAACCAATTATCAAACTCAATAAAATATTTTATTGCAAATATTTTTATTAATTAAATAAACAATTTTTTTCCAGGTAAAATACTACGATTCAATAATTAAAAAACACAACAAAAGAATAATTATAATCGTAAAAAAATGAATTTTTATAACTTTTTTTTTTTTTAAACAATTAATTATCAATAATACTTTTCTCAGTACCTGAAGCGGATTTTCGAATTCCATATTAGTAATTTTGAATCATTATTCAATTCGGATTTAATTAAACATAGTCTGAATATATATTATTTATATATCTTAATTAAATACTACTATTCCTAACAAAAGTACAAAAGGATTTGCTTCAGTTATTTAATTAATTAAAACCATGTAATATGATCAAATTAAATGAGTTGATGAAAGAAATAAAATTTAAAATGCTAAATAATTAAATTATCAGACAACTTGTTAATTTTAAATTGCTGTCAATAAAATAAAATCAAAGTATTTATACTTGTATATAGAGTCAGACACATTGATATACACATCAACATTATTTTCACCCTGATACCATTCACACTTGCTACATGTACGTACCGTTTTGTCCCCGTTTCAATAAATACTCTCATCTAGATGGTTGAATTGTCCGCAATCTGCAGCAAACGCATCGATGTTACACACGAAAATAGATCTCACCATCGACAGCACCCTAAAATACGATAAAATATGGAATTGTAACATAGTGCATAAAAAAAAAAATCAACTCAACCGCGTAGAGAATCGACTGACAAAAAATCTGATAAAAATATATTATTTACTGGAGTAAATCGATCTAATGTTTTTATCAAAAATAAAAATGTTTTTTTTTGTTTTACAACAATTATTAATTGACTGAATTCTATGTATTTTTATTTTTATCTATCAAACTCTAAGACATCATACTGTTTTCCAACTAAATTTATCACATTTATTTCATTATCATTTTATAATTCCAGTTATAAATGTACTCTTGATAGAAATACTCTTTAAATAAAATTAAATGATAACATTTATTTAGAATTGTGCTTGCAAGCTCATTCATTTATTTCATTTTATTACATCTGTCATTGTGTAAAATGATTATAAATTTTGAATTATTACCAAAAGTTTCATCTTACTTTTAAACTTTTACAAATTATCGGTACACAGGTATTATTCATACTAGTTTTATATTTGTAATAATTCAACGCTGATAAGACTTAATTTATTAGCATAGTTTGTTAAAGGTAAATACATCAAGTTGAAATGGTGATTTGTGAGTTAATTTTTCTGTATATATATTATATAAACTTACCATGACAACTTACATTGATGATAGAAAAAAATTCTCTAAAAGACGTCATTAACGTCCAACGATGACATTATCGATAACGATAACATTTCTATGAACAAAATTGACAGAAAAATGGCTTTGTGACTTTTAAAAAATCGATATCAGTGCAAGACATTTCTGCTCTATATTAAACCACTCTTTCATGTACTCCAACTCTAGATGTTCCAAAAAAAAAACATAAAACAAATATATAAACCGTTCCTCTTGAAGCCATTTCTTTTTCAAAGCTATCCTTTGGCTCTTTTACAAAACAAAAATATTGGGCTTTGTTTGAGAGCGTTTGAAAACAAAAATATCAACAAAACAAATATTCTCTTCTAAATATTCATTAAATTCCTTTATGATAAGTTCTCTGGAGTGAGAAATTTTTCAAGTCTTTGGTAAGAAGCATGAAAGTAATACAATAACATAACAAACTCTAGAATGTGTTGGGGGTTGTTTCAGAATGGCCGTGCTAGCAGTGAAAGCAGTGAAGACGGTGCTGGTAGTAGTACAAGCATGTCTAGGGCAACGGGAAGTGGTTATGGACTTGGAGGTGGAGTTGGATGCTCAGGAGGTTGGCGTAGTGTCTTCGGGGCAGTTTCCAGCAGAGAGTTAAGGCTTTATGAATGTGCACCATGGAGCCCAGAGGCATGGGCGTCTCCAAGCATCACCTGTCCACTTATAGCAACCAGGTGAGACAAAATACATTTCAGAATAAAAAAAGTGCCCTTATCATCTGACATTGTTTCCTTTGAGCTTTGAACTATGTAAACATATGGAGAAAAAAAAGGAGAGTAACAACAATATATGGAGCCATCTTTTATTGTCCAGAGGCTTGATTGCTCTGCTCTGTACTGAGTCACTTAGATTCATCCTTTTGTTCCAACGTTATCGCGACGTACACGTAAAACGTATTTCGCACGTGCGACAGATTCTCTCTGGTTCTCTTGGCGGACACGAGTACCGGATTACCAATGAGGCGCTATAGTATGGCGCCTCGGCCACCCGTCGGATTACGGCAGTTAGCGAGATGTTCGTTAGACCACCATTTTAATTAAGACCATTACATCCCCGTCGACATTAGCAGGGTACGAGGCTTGCCAACGATTACGTGCACAGACGTCGTAATCCATGCTCAACATTGAGCTTTACTTTTGTTTTTTCTTCCCTTTGCATTCCATTCCTGTACTCATTTTAAATTTGACTTAGGACTATGGAAACAAACTGGTGGTCATTTTAATCATTTCATGTTCCTGCGAAATAACACTTTATTTATAATTACCATCAGCAATGTTTCATGGAGTAACCTTTCTGTAGCAAGGAAGTTAATCTCTCTATTGCAAGATTTTTGGGTAATTATATCGTTTAACTCATCTCTGATTTTAATGGAAACGACATATGTTAATGAATTTATTTCAATTTAAAGCTGGAAGAGGAACGGTGGAGTGCGAAAAGCCAGGATAAGTCCATGTATAAAAAGTGAGAAATTTGATACAATTGTGGAATAGATTAATTGGTAGAGAATCCTAGCTCGTAACTTGAAGGACCTGGGTTTGATTTCCGGTTTCGCCATGGTACTTTTTTTTGAAACTACTTTTTTAAAAGACCTGTAGGAATTGGGGAAGACAACTGTTGGGGAGAGGGGAGTGAAGGAGCTGTAACTCATCATTATATTCATTACATCACGAAAAATGGAGATGGTGAGGGATTATTGCTCCAACTCAGCTAGAAAAAAAGCTTTCGAAAAGACGTCTTTTGGATTCAGATAAAAAGATGTCCTATTCCTATTTGATATTCTTGAAGTTGTCTTATAAATATCTAAAAAGATGTCTGTGCTTGAAACTTTGTTTAAATGATGTCTAAAAAAAGCTAAAATATTTTCTAGACATTATTTTGTTCAACAAATATTGCTATTGTGGGGTTATAGACTGTATTCCAGTATTTTATAAAAAATAACTTGATAGAAATCTTGATATAGAGAAAGGTTGGTTGATTTTTGGTTCAACATTGGACAAGTCTAGTCAGCCATTACTCAATTAATCATTGCTAGTTACTGTTCATTAAGTATGTATGATTATTAATTACACAAGTGTACATCTGACGAGGAAAGTTTTTAACTTAGCTTTAAATATTTATTATAACCTCAAAAAACTTGGAATGGTTTTAATAAAAAGGTCATGTTTATGCGAGTAATAACCATTTGCACAACATTTGCTTCTGTAGAAACTAACGTTTATTCTCATTATCAACATTTTAAAAAATAAAACATACATTTCACCATTATTTTCAAGTCCTCATTATCATAATTTTTTTTTGGGTAAATTTCAATTCGTCATTCATTTGAATCTACTTAGGTCGACACAGTTCTATTCCAGCTTTGAAACGTCTAGGAAATTCAAGCTATTGAATTTTAATTAGGCCAATTATATCTGTAGGAAGTTTCTCAAAAAAAAAAAAGTAGCTACATAAAACAGTGGATTTAGCAGGAAGTAGATCAATTAAATGATATGTAATTTATTTTTTATTGGAATAATCTGAATTCCTTATGACTGTACCTATTGAAACATAAAATATCACGTATAAAACATACTAATGAAATTCAATTAGCGAGTAATAGTCGATTGCATAATTAAAGATTCTCCAGTTGACCTAATTGGACTTAATCTACTTGAAATAATGAATTCGCAATAATTAGCTAAAAAAATTCATTGGAGTTGGCTATTCTTAGATAAACTAGCATGCAATGTCGACGATTAATCGGACGTCTGATGATAATTAACGAGCGCAGGTCGTAAAAGTTAAGGACCGTGACCGGACGACCTTCTGAGCGTTTAGCCCGGGACCGGAAGCCGTAGCTGATAGACCGAAGTCGCTAGATGAGCTGGACTAGTACAGGTAATGCGAGGGTAAGGGACTAAGCGAAGTCTAGGCTCAGTATATAGTCTGTACTTGGGTGGTGGTATAGAGGGCGTACTTGCTGAGGGGGTGGAAAGACCGATTCTCGGTTAATTAATAGCAAGTGATTAATCGTCAGAGCTGGGCTACCCTCGTCAAACAAACCTCCAAGCGTTGCTCCAAGCTTGTACGTGATCTGCAAATACGATGTGGTACCCCCAGGTATATCGTTACCATGATGCCAGAAACGACGCGTGCAAATTTCCATCCCTTCCAACTCCAACAACTCCGTTCCTTAGAATCCACTTATCCTTACTTACTGTCTCTTATTCGTTTACTTATTACGTTTAGATATTCAAATGCTTTCGGATTTCACTGTTTACTTAATTCTCTGATTTTTTAATGAGTTTAAGGTAAATAGAAATACTAATTATTTCAAAATGGATACTTTTTTCCCTTCATTATTCACAATCATTAATTTACAGTTTAATAAAAAGGTTTTTTTGCTTCGTTCATATTTGTTTTGTTTCATTGTTAAAAAATAGATCTGTTCATCAAATTCAACTCAATATTTTTTTTTTAAATATAAACTTGTTTTAGACATTTGCAATAAGTATTTTAAAACAACAGAAATTTAAGAAATTATTTATTTTCTAACTAGTTATATTGATTAGACATTTATAATGACGTTCTGACTGAAGACATTTACTGCTCGTCATGTGTTACATAATGATAGAATAAGTCCGGGATAGATGGCCAATCAAAATAATTAAAAGAACCGTTGACTAAATATTTGGCGAAAAAAATAAAACAGTAGCGACACCTAGTGATCGGTTTTAAGAATCATTCCGATTGCCCCCCCTCCCATATGGCCATCTATCCCGGACTGGTCCTAAGAAAAAAGATTTACAAGGACGCAAAGTTTATTTACAATGACAGTAAATATTTTATAATAAACATAATTAAGGAAAATGTCTTATGTACTCTAGTGTTAATTGTAAACCGACATAAACAACTCGATCAAGCATTTCTAACCTCAAAATCTGTTGTTTGTCAATCATCATATGTAGATGGAGACACACAATGATTTTACAAATGATTAGACATTCACATCGTGCTTCATACTTACTTTTAATTAATTTTATTTAAAATAAATAAATAAACTTTGAGCATATTTTTTAGCAAATCATTTATGAGTTTAAAATGTTTAATATATGTGTATACTCGTCAATTTTCATTCTCACGTACATTTTATAGGAAAATACGTCGATTTCCCTCGTGTACAAGCGCCCTAATAAACTTTGGGCTTCTGACTGTCCGAGGTACATTTTCCCTTGGGATGTGACTCTCGGATGCTTCTATTCGCGACAATCGAGATGCGCCAACGATGTGGATTCATTTACATGCGGATGATGTCACGTATTTCTCACTCCACTAGTTCATTCGTTGAAAAAAGAAATAAAAAAAAAAAGTGGAAAGAAGAAATACTTTTTAGAAAAAAAAAAAAAAAGTGGAAATGAATTACCCATTTTTGTGTGTTGAAGTAAAAGCATCTTGAGTTGGTGTATTTTTGATCTCCATTTAAATTGGATCAACCTTATTTGCTGCTCGATTATTTACTTTTACTTGATCATTTTTATCTCATCTTTATTATCTTCAACATTGTCTTGGTAAATCAATTAATTTTTATCGACTACTTAAAAGGAAAAAAAGAAAAATAAAATATTCGCATTAAAATTTTCTTTTATATTTAATTTTTAGATAAAATATTTTTTTCTCAATATTCAAATTCAGTAGAATAAAAATTGGTTTAAAATATTTATCACAATCTTCGATTTGATAGAAAGAAAAATCAGAAAATAAGATATTCAGTAGTATGGAATATATTCAGTCAGCCACAAAGGAAAATAATAAATTTAAATAGAGAAAAATGTTTCAATAATACATTCTAAAAGGATTAATATTATAAAATATTATTAAATATTTAAATATTATTAAATATTTTAAAAGTAATCAAATAATTATCAATAGAATTTGTTTAATAAAATAGAAAAAAAAATCTTCTTCTTTTCGAATTAAAGTAAAAGCCTTCATTAAATTACTTTAAGAATATTCTTTTTTCTCGTTTAAATTGATTTTATCTTTTCTTACGTAAATTACTCGGTTCGACATGCAGCTCGATGAATTATAGTGAAAGAATATTTACTTAACTTATGTATATAGATAGATATATATATATATGTATACATGGCAGGTGAAAATTTATTCTTTCCATCGTTTTAACCATTTCTCTATAGCAAACTACCAAGTAAAGTATAAAGTCACTTATAAAACATCTTTATCTTCATTAGTTTCTTTTATTCCCTCTTCACAAATTTTTTCTCCTATAAATCACCTCCAATTCCATTACGAAAATAAATAATTTATTTTCTCTATCGTGTATCGTGCTACTATAAGATTATATTAGTATATACATAATCGTCTGAAGGGAGGGAGGTTGTTATGAGTAAATAATTTCATGCTCGAGTTGTTTGTTAGAAGCTCATTTTTGACTAACATAAAAGTAGATTATGGTGTTGGAGATGCAGATGAAACGAATGAAAAATTCATATAATTTTTTATACGTTTGTTAAAATGCTTCTGGCAACATTTTTTTCTAAAAATGTATGCATTAAAAAATTAATTACCAATTTACCTGGCATATTTGTTAAATACTTTCATACTTTTACGTCTGATTTGATTCACTGAATATTTTTGCAAAAATATTTCTCAACCTAAAGTCTGATTAATTGCATCTTGGATACAGTTTTATAATCAGGAAAGCATTAAAACTAAATTAAGGTCTCGCCAAGTTGTTTTTTTTTTTGAAAAAGTAAACCTGTATGAATTGTAGAAGACAACCAATGGAGAGTGGTACCCTACTAGCCACCCCTGTGTCAGATTTACGTACGTCTGTTTCCGTTCTGCATCAGATTGCCATTCACTATCTGACGTTCAATTTTCTGTCTTAAGTCTGATTAGATTACTAGGGTAGGGGGGTAAAAGGAGAGCTGCAATTCATAATTATCATTAAATGGGCCTTATCTAAAATACCTAATCAGATAAGGCCCAACCAAAATTGCCTAATTATTGGCAATTAAATAGACCTTTCTATGATAGTGAAAATTATAATGAAGCATATTTTGATCAGTTTAATATGTTTATGTTGGGACAATGAAGGTAGATTCTCGTTTTGCCTACTAAATTCCTTTATTTCTCCGTGTTTTTCAATAAAGCCAAAATCACCGATAAAACGAGGTGGGAATAAAAAATAATAGACAGTAAAAAAAAATGTTAAAAATCTTAAATAAATTTTTAACGCAAATAGTACGTCGTGGATTGGGTTGTGAGGTGTACGGGGCATCGTAATATTCGATGGAGATTGAAAAAGAAATGAAAATAAATTTCAGTTGGACTTAACGGTGCAATAACGCCAACGAGTGCAGAAAATTTTTTAATAATCGCACAACAGATTCTCGTGCTGGCGTATTTAACGACTGGAGCTATCAGAGTGGATGTATACGAGGGAATCTCGTCTACAGGTTGCTGATTCGAATGGAATAACGTTGGGGTAAACTATATATAGAGGGAGTTAGTGCGATAAAAATACTCGTTAGACTATTACAGGACAGAAACAGACGTGGTGTATATTTTCGAGTGACTATTTATTTATCATCCAGTATATCCGTAACAGAACAGAAGAGCCATTTGGGGTAATGGACGACCCATGGATCGCATGGGTACCAATCAGCGATTGTGACTCGGTCCTGTTATGAATTGGGCACTGGCTTGACGTCGTTTCCGCGTCAATTTGCTACGCTAGCACCCTCCTAGCTAGGGGTTGAAATATACGGGCTGACAAAAATGTATCGTGTTATCATGAATTGCCCCCAAGAGTTTTTTCATACCCAACGGTGACACCTGATGCAAACTGTGTCGTTTATTTATTCATAACAATCTCATTCAGACGATTATATGCTACGATACTTTCACGATCTGCTGAATAAATTATTTATTCTGATAATGGAATTGGGGACTAAATAAAAAATGAATGAAACATGGCAACAATTTTGTGTAAATGATTCGGCTATTTTCGGTGAATAATCGTGGTTTAATAATCAAATAGAATCCTGATTTTGATGCTGCTGTAAAGCAATTAGCATTGACAGTGGAAAAAAAAAATAGTATAACATATTTTACTAGCATCTAGGTTGTGTTTTAGTTTATAAAAGTGATTATTTTTCTATCTTATTTCCAATAAACAATTTTTCATTTGTACTTGTTGAAGTACGGTTGGATTTTGAGGTTTATTGAACAACACATCGGACTTAAGGGAGTTTTATTGTACCGCGAGACAAACCGGAAGTGATTTAGCTGCAGCGAAATTTTTCTACTTTTTTCAATTGTTTTTTTTTTTTAGGTACACTACAAGTAAATCACTTGCAATGAACAATCGATAACCATTTACTCGATTTCTTCTCTAAAAGTTTCTCTTTATTTTTTCGTTTTTGTTCTTCAGATTCTTCTTATTTTCCTACTTGTTCTTCTCCCTCCCTCCTCCTTCTTCTTCTTCTTCTTCTTCTCCTGAGCTCTTTCTCATCAATTTTCGATTCTTAAAGCTTTATTTATGTTTGGAACATTTTATCTGTAAAATTGGAGGGAAATTGTTGGTGAAAATAGATGTACTTTAATGATAATTTACCCAATCATTTCGCTTACGTAGAACTTTTATCTCCATGCACAATGTACCTTCATACAAATACGTATAGGAATAACAAGTTTATTGGCCAAGCTCCAGAGGGACTACTCAAGCTCAATGGTTCTCTATGGACCTCATACCTTCACCTTCTTCCTCTCACATGCTGGCTGATTTTACCCAAAATCCCTCCGGTCCTTTATCGATTTCATTCCTTTGCTTCAACTACCATGTCTTACAGCTTTTATCTTATTTTTATATTTTTATAAGATATAAAATCGATTGTGGTCATTCTTTTTTCCATACTTTCATCCTTTTTTTTTAATATTTTAATCTGATTGAGTTTCAATGAATTACTTTGACAAATAAATTAATCCCTACAAAGAGAAATTTATTTTGACGAATAAAATAAAAAAATTCCGTGTTGAATTTAGTGTTTGAATAAAAGATTTTGGTGTTGGATAAAATTTATTATCTCTAGTTTTTCAAAGAGTAAAGGAAACTTTTGTAGTTTGTTGAGATTAAAAAGCAATATTTTTTAATTATAAATAAATCTATGGATTAGAGTTATAAAATATTAAAATCAAAAGCTATTAAAAGTATGAGCAAGAAATAAAAAAAAAGAAATATTAAAAATTTTTTACAACTTTTGTTACAGACTGGTTTCATCATCATCTAGAAGTAATGAAGCATCCAGTAGTAATGGTGGTACAATGAGCGGAGCAACTTTTGCTGTACGCGTTGGCACCATGGACGGAGTTATTACACATCACCTGAGGGCTGAAACACGAAGAGATTTAGCTGCCTGGGCGAGAGCGATAGTTCAAGGGTGTCATGCAGCAGCACTCTCGTTACGAGAATATACAGTTCGTAAGTGTATTTTTTATTTATCTAGTTTATTCTGGCTATGCAAATCAATCAATGTCAGTGGATGAGCTATTTATGAATTTATAATGTATTTACATCAACTTTTCGATTGATTTTCAGTCAATATCATCCATTAACTTCTAAAATATTATTTACCTTCAAAATATGAATAAAAATCTTCCTAGAAATTCATATCTGTTTTTGTTCGATGATTATTAAATTGGAAATAAAAATACATATTTCATAAAAACTCTACACTGAATTAATTAACTTAGCATCAATAAAGTGAATCAATAGTAGTCATAAATAACATTAATGTATACATTTTTTTTCAGGATGTTTGTGGCAAGGAAGACCATGTCAGTTGGTTGTCAGTCATGAAGAAGGATTTATTCTATATGCGAGTGGATCAAGAGCTGTAAATGGAGTCAGTCCAGGATCACCACCGGTTCCATTGTGGAAAAAATCTTTTGAAAAACTTCGAATGTCTGCTGATGACGGCACGAGACTGCTATGGCTTGACTTTGCAGATGATGATGCAGAGATTGTAAGATAATTTCCTTTGTATATAGCAATAATTTTATATCCAACTATGATTATTAATCAAGTAACTGAACATTTTACTGCTAAAAGAATGTTATCACAATCACTTCAAATCAACTTCGCTATCTTCTCTGTTTTATTTTATATTCAAAGAATTTCTAAATATTTCATGCATCTTGTTATGTCAGTAAATACTTGGTGTATTCGTTTTTCTAGTTCCAAACATGCTTAAAGCGTGTCAAGAGTCGTTGTCCTGACAAAAATAAATATTTGCTGTCCAGACCCTTGCTCCAAGACGACAAAAAACATTCCATGTACCCAAGAATATTCTTATATCAATTTATTTTCTATTATATATATATTCTTCTTTTTCTATTCAAAACTTATAATGTTCTTTGTATGCACAGGAACTGGATCTTGAGAGCTGTCCGAAGCCAATTGTCTTTGTTCTTCATAATTTCCTGTCAGCAAAAATACACCGCCTTGGATTGAACGCATAGGGGTACGAGGGGGCTTCGCAAGAAGTCCCCGATCTACCGCCACACACCACCAGGTCGGTCACTAGTGTATTTTTTCACTAAACATATTACCTATGGTGCTGGCTTGATGTCGGACTAAACATAGACTTTACCCCTGATTGAAATTGGAACTATTCTTCCGGTTTATTACTCAGGATCAGTGATGAATAAATGATCTTGATACCTCCACAGAACATTTAGACATTAATATATAAATTACTTAGTGGCGAAAATTATTTAATAATTTGTGTAAATTAAGTTTAAAAAAAAAAAAATTTTATTTATTGTTTTGTAATTGTATTTGAAGTTTGTAAATTATTTAAATAATTGATTATTCGATAAAATAATTATTGTGTAGAAATATTTTATATTGATTGTATACAAATATACGTGAAATCTGTATAAATGTTGTATATATTTAGTATATAATCTTTACAAAATATTTTTACATTCATTACTACACTGTAAAAAAAAAAATGAAACAAAACTCAGATATAAATTGATGAATTAAATGCTTAAAAATGATTTGGAAAATTTAATTCTAATATTTAGTAGATTTTTAATGAAAATTTTAATGTAATTTTTAATTATTAACTTCAAAAAAAAAAAGAATAAGGTAAAAGAATTTCTTGTAATATTTATAAATATCATCAACCATTCCAACAACTCAATATGTCTATTAAAATATAATTCTTTTGACGTTTAAATAAATTATCTAAACTGATATAAAAAATGCTGTAATATTCAAAAGATCAAATATCAACTAGAGAAAAAAGAAATATTTATTAATACATTAATAATTAATCAAAAGTATTTTTTACTAATTAGCTAGAAAGGTAGTAATTATATATAAAAAACAAATATGTTGTTCCTTGATTAAATAAACATAAACATATTTACACAAAAAATTAATTAGAAAAATTTGGATTATTTACAAAACAGACCGCCACACTACGCCAAAAAATAATCAAAGATCATTTCACATTACTGCTCATAAGACTCGTGAGAGATTGACTATTGTAACTAGAGTTCTGAGACCAGTTTATCGAAGCCAAACGAGTCAAACGACTTAATTAAGAAAGTATAATAGCAAGTATCGAATAATTGTCGATGTAATGTTACTTTATAATCGACCTGAAGCCATCCACACGATATTGCTGCTTATTGTGAAAAATTTAATTAAAAAAAAAAAAAAACGAATAATGAACTAATAATAAATATGAAAAGAAATAGTAGATTAATTATTTCAAGAAGATTGATAATAAAATGTATATGATATTGAATATTGCTCTAATTAAATGCGCCTGAATATTGCTATATAATTAATTAAGAGAATAATAAATAAATAAATGAATAAAATAATTACTGATGAGATGTAGAAAAAGAGATAAGCAAGTTATCGATGCATTAACGAATTAATATCATTTATAAGAATGGTATATCTATGAAGTGGATATAAATTTAAAAAAAAAAAAAAACAATAGCATAGATGATCCAATTAAATATAAATTAATTAAATCAGCAGGCTAAATTACAATGAATGTATATTATGAGCACCCTACTCGCTGGTCTCGATTTATTATAACTCTTTGCTAAATTTTTCAAAAGTTTTATGCTCTTTAAATAATTTTTATTTATACTAAACTCAAGGAAACTCTTTTGCATACTTGTATGAATGCTATTTATGGAGAAAAAAAAAAAAAATTATGAAAATTTGAAAAAAAAAATAAAAAAAAAAGAAAACTAAAAAAATAAAAGCAAGTTGCGAAAAAACAAGTAGATAAATAAATAAAAAGAGAAAAGGCTGAATAAAAAAGGATTTTCTACCCCTTTTTCGCATTCCAACACTCAGAGAAACATTCCTCGAGGTATCAGCGAGGCAACGGCGCTCTAGTTATTTTATACGGTTCGTATCCTTAACGCAATTAAATTTACAGTCACGAGGAAATGTTTGCCAGGTGCGCAGCCCATTCCATATAGTCATTGTGGTGGTGTTACTGTCGTGAATTTTCCACTTGCGTAACTGATGTAATTTAAATTGTACCCCGGGAACGAGCCCCTGCGATTTTAAATTGACAATTCCTTTTTCTAAGTAGAAATTAACTCTAAGCGGACCACATTATATCGCGAATAAATTGTCTCTGACACTATTTCCCTCATGAGGATTACTTCAATTTGTGCTCATACGTTCACACACTTGAAACAAGACGGGACCTTTGGGAATTTTTTTAATAAATCATTTCTATGTTGAAGTAAATTTCAACTTGCTAAATATAATTTGGATGTGTGATTTCAAAGAAACATGCAAAAAATAAGACTAAAATGTTCATTATTTCAAGCTATACCATCTCATGGTACCTAACATGTTACTTGAAAGAATTAGCTTTCATTCAGAATTGTAAATTAATTATGAAAAGTAAGAGCTGATTATTATTACCCTAGTGTAACAAAGATTGTAATTTCTTGGTGAAAAAATGGCTACAACTCAGCTACTGAATGCTATTCCTTTCTTCTCTTTGTTATTAAAGCTATGTACATTGTAACAACCTTCTAGTGTACCTTTCAGGTGCTTTTATTTCCTAAAAGTGCACATTTTCGACATTAAATGTTATTTCAAGCTAGAAATGTATTTTTTGGGGTCCATTGTTTTTTATTATACTTGCACAAATGATAAACAAAAATATCATCAACCTATTAAGATCAAATACATTAGCTCTTTGAAGCATCCATCTTTGATACATCTGATATTGTTGAAGTTTATTTTGAAAGAATAAGTTGCTGATGATGAAGATAAAATGCAAATAGCTTGCTAAAAGTAATAACCATGATAAAAAGTATGTAAACACAGTGTTTCAAGGGGTTCAACTAAATCACATGTGAAAATATTATTTTAGTAAGCTGTAATTAATATAAATACAACATAATTCAAAGTGAGGAAATATTTATGAGCGGTTATGTAAGTGGTTTCCTTAATTATAAAATAAAACATTTTAATCGTTTTAATTATTTATGAAGCACTTTATATCATTATTATAAATATCAATTAATATCAATGTTCAAATATGATGTTCTTATAAACAGTTTAGTGATGACTCTGGTGATAAAATAAAGAGCTGAGAAATGGGAATGAAATAAAACAAGCTTGAAATAAATAATGTGTTACCGTGTGATTGTTATTAACAATTAGTAAAGCCGTGAGAAATAATGTAACAATTTTCATTAGCACTAAAATTTGTTGGAGCATACGGCCTAGCTCGTTCACGTGGTACAATAAATGGTCTACGAGGTCTTAACCAATTATCGAGATAATAGCTAGGGCTCACCACTGAAGCAACCCCGAAACTCACGAGTATACTCGTTAACAATGTAATAAATATTCCTAAGAGTGAATTTGGTGTATAAATTTTGGGTAAGCGAATCTGCGAGTGGGAGTTAAATGTGCGAATGTATGGAAGCGATAGCAAATTAGAATGCGAGATAATTAGCAACTGGAAATCACTGAAAGATGGTCGGTTGTGTGTCTAGAATATTCTAGATAATTTGTAGCTAAGATCAATGGCCGACTGAAGCCGTACAATAAATAAATTTCAAAGTCATTTATTATTTCTTTGATGATGAATATGTTTGATAAATGAATTTATCAATAAATCAATCCATTTAAGGAAGGGAAAATAAATAGAAATATATTTGCGATTATGTAGGACATATCAACGAAATCACTATGTATTAAAACATCTTCATTTGTCACTTTCATCTTCCATGTGACTCGTGCGATCAAAATACACTGACGACTGTAATGATTAATATATAAGATTATTTGATTATTTTATTTATATATACATATATATATATATACTGTACATAAAAGATTGTAATCATTAAAAATCAGCGATAGCTTGAACAATTGAATAGTCGTTCTAATCAAATGAAAAAAAAACGATCTAATATTGTTACGAGTCCAACTATTAGGTGTGTAATTGAAAATAATAATAATGATAGTGTTAATATTAATGATATTAATTATAAATTGACAATTAATAATAACATTGTGAATGATAGATAATGAATAATTAAATATCTGTTATATTAATTATTTATGACAAATTTGTGAATTACGTATTTTTATAATAATTTTAACTTTTAATTCTGTTTCTTAGATTACGAGAAAGTTAATGTATGTATGCGTTATAGAGAACGAAATAAAAAATTATTAGAATAAAAGGTTATTAAATAAAAGTACTATGATTTGTAATTTATTACCTTCATTTTTAGGTTTCATAAAACTTTCATAAACTAAATCACAAAATTGTGATAAAAAATTTAACTATCTATCAACATGATAACGTTAGAGGTGAGTATTTTTTTCACCAATTATTTCTACACAATACAAAAAAAAAAAAAAATTAGAGAAAGTGAGAATATATTCAAGTTTAAAGCAAATAATCATTTATATTTATGATGAAGGAGTTATTATTTTTATCAATATACAATATAGGTCATTATTACCTATTTTATTGTTGATAATAAATTACTGGTTATGCTTGGTATTTCCGTAACATGATAAGAAACCATTTATTTAACAGTTTTATGATACTGTAATAATTAGAATTGCGGAATATCTGAGTACACCGATGGAACGATATCGAATAGCAAACATTGAATATTATTGAAATTCATTTTAAATATATCAATTTTTACTCAATTAATGTTAATTCAGGTAATGCATAGAATATAGTTTCATTAATGATTTTTTTTTTTTTAATTTTAAATCAATTGCTGTATAACTAATTTTGATCATTACTAAGATCGAATAGTGCACTCAAATCAACAGTAAATAATTCCAAAGCTATTATTCCTGCATAACCATCAGCATATCTGAAAACTACACCAAGTCCATTAAATGCTAAAGAATTGTCACTATCGATAGGACGAGCATCGAAGAAAGGGATTGTTGATTGTCCAGCATCTGAGAAAATTGAACTTGCACTGAACACTACATATTTATTTGGCATAACTTCAGTTGCATGCATGACAACAGGATCATACTTGTAGGATTTTCCGCCATGAGTTACCTCCCGCCTATGAAAGTGAAATAAAATTAACATTTTTAGAGATCATTTCCTAGATCATCAGATATTACTCTACCTTTCACTGCTGTATATTTCAGAAGGATTGGGTTGTGTTTCTGCTGTAATCCACTGAGATGGTTTTTCGTCTGTAGGATTTAGTTGACCAGTAAATATATCAAAAGGTGTAATGTTTATTTCCAGTTGAATTGCTTCTACCAAATCGTTATTATCATTTTTCACAGCACTGAACCTAACTCCAGTCAAAACATAATCAGATTCTGCTGTTATCTGATCCATAAAAAGTGTTCTTTGGTTTAAGTTGACAAAAGTAAAGTCTTCATCTTTTGTCAAAGCAGTACCATCACTTAAAGTGAAAGATGCAGTAGTTTCAGTAGTGGTGTATATGAAATTTTCAAGTGGTACCCATGAACTCTGATTACTATCAATACGAGCAGCAGGTAAAAGTGGAGCCTCTGCAATCTGGATATGGATCATGTTATCTTGTGAAACAAATCGTACACTAGACACAACTCTACAATAGACATAAGAAGTATATTTTTAAATGAGCTTTTTCTACTAATGACCTTTGGTAGTATAAATAATCGTACTTGTTGTTTTCAATGTCGGACACTTGAGGACGTAAACTTATAGTTCTTATGGCTTTGGAAGCAGGAAGTTCTTCGGAACATTGACACAAGCACATCGAACAAGCCTTGAAGTTGTGATATAAACCTCTGGATTCATAATAATTTCCATCACTACATGGTGACCATTGTCCATATCTTACATCGTTCCCATAAGATCTCACCCACTCATAACGTTTTCGACTAGCATTCTATTTGATTGAATTTAATATTTGTTTATTATTCGTAATGTTATTGTAGTATTACATTACTTACCTTTTCACAAACATCAATATCTCCCCCTATCCAACCACAATCATAAGTCGTTCCTTGACATGGATGTGAGGGACATAGTTTCTTTCCATAGCGATTAGTAATGCAACGTTCGGTTGCTAAAGACTCGATTTCTGGACATGAATAACCACATTGTGGTTTTTTTCCGACTTCGTATTGGTTTACTATAATAACAGAAAATAGACCGTCCAGTTCCACATAATCTTCATCTACCAAAATAAAAAATTTTTGCTTATTGCAATCAATCAATCATATATCTAATGAGTCCAGTTGATGATATTTTTTCTCTACCTGGAACATGGGTTACTGAATCACACATGTAAACTTCTCGACTTGCATTATACATCAGTTCTTTCAATTGTTGCATATTTTTTTGTAATGCCGTAGCAAATGCTTCCTCGACATCATCAAATTCATCAGCAGAATCATCTGGAAATCAATAAAAATATTCAATAATTTGAAGAAAAAAAATTTATTGTATATTCTTACTTGATGGATCAGAAGCCTGGAAGTTGTAAGCACCGTAGGTTGCGGCCAGTATTTTCAATTTGGCAATCATAATTTGTTGATACATTAAATACATGCTCATTTGTTGTGTGATTCTAGTACCACAGTTCTCAGGAGCCTCTTTCTGAATAACAAAAGATCAATTAATATTAAAATACTGATGGAAAGTGCATTAAAATACTCAATTACATCTTGTGCAATGATTTCCTCCCAAATTTCATCATTATCTAATATTTCCAGACCTCCAGAAACATGCTCAGGACTTTTCACAGTTACTATTTCTATAAATTCACTAATTGTATCATCATCAAAGGAATTTAAATCAGAAGCAAAAGTTAGGAATAAATCGTAGATGGCGTCAAGAAATAAAATAGCATCATATTCATATGGATGTCTGAAATTTAATTTTTGATTTTCAACGTTGATTTGACTGATTGCTTCTATTATTTCAAAGATTGGATTATTATCTATTGTCAGAGATGGATCTCTGAAGTTAGTATTTTTCATTATATCTTTTAGTTGAGAAGAAAAATTGATCAAGTCTTGGAAAACATATAATCTAGGAACATCCAATGAATTGACTTGTAGAACAACTACTAATGAGATCAACGACACTAAAATGTTAGACATTTTTAGTATTTCTTGATCGATTGGAAAAACTAATAAACGCGGCACTTTCACCACTTGTACTCTAACAAAACAGAAACATTGAAACAGAAGTATTCAAATTATGAAGCATAATTATCCGTAGTGTTATCAGTTAAATGACACTTGTGAGACAGAACATTTAAACGAACATAATTGATAATAACTTGATAATTTTTTTTGTTCAACGCTTCATAATTTTTACGTCAATCTAACTGTTATTTACTATCAAGATGACCTTCACATTTAATGATAATGACCTGACGTAGTATAATTTATTATAAATGAATACTTTAAAATTACTGTGGCCATAAAATATTGGCAATTTTAGTGATTAAGTTCTTTCAGGTTTATAAATGCCTGATTTATAAACATCAACAATTACCAACTGCTTAGATAATTATTTCTCTCATATTGAGTTTCCAGTCTAGAATTTTTGGAGATTGAACTAAATTGAAAAACTATAAAATTCGAGATCATGTACCAAATGAGATGATTGTCTTCAATTTGAAAGCAAATGTGTCGTACTGCACATGAAGACCTAGAATCGAGCTGAACACTTTTTTGTTTCAGAATCATGAAATAACCTTTCTGTTAAGTTAGATGTACTGTATTATGACTACAGGATCATTCTTAGACGATTTGCAGCTAATCCAGATATATTTTAGTATTTTTATAGCTTTTCCTAACTCCAAGAATGAAGAATAAATCAATAATCATGTATTTTTAAAAGATCTTTGGTTTTTAAATCCTACTTACAAAAGTCTCTGCTAATGTCTTCATCATAAGAAAGTGATTTAACGTTTTTTAACAAACTCATTCAGGTTATAATTCATAATTCTCTGGTCTTTTTATGATGTAGCACACTTAAAATATTATAGATTGACAGTTCTTTACATAATATAGACTTAACGTTATCAAGACCTTGCATTTCCTTGAAGGTATTGGTGATAGGCATTGATAATTCTATAATAGCAAGAATTTTAAGATGAAGGTTTAATGGATCCTGATACATCTCAGGTGATAGTCAGACATGTCTTGGGATTCTTCTGCTAGGGATAGCTTCTCCAGAATGTTGATATGATAATTACCTTCTAGATTGTTCTGATGATTTACAAGAAGAGATGATACCTTTCCAATAGCTCGGGATGTTTGTGATTCAGATATTTTGTAGATATTTTTCACATTGGAATATCGCAGTGGAGATTGATGAGAAAAAAATTCTGGGAAATGAGAAGAGATAAGAAAATATAAAAAGTTGCGAAATCAGAGAAATGACGCAATATAGAGAAGAAGAAAAAAGTAGGAAGGAAGAAAGTAAGCGAATGCCTTCTAGGCGTAAAGGAAACTTTGAGACTTTGTCATTTTTATCGGCAGCCCGATATCCCCAGCTTGTGATTGGCCTATGAAACTTTTCTGATCCGTCTTCCGTCCCGCAAAACTTGAAGATTTCACCTCACCTCGAGGCCACCACCTCCAAGATCCACTGTACGTAAATCACCTTGCCCCTCTTCTCTTTCGCTCATCTTTTGCTACATACGTTTCTATTCTCTACTAAGCATCCGCTTCCCAACTTTTATTCCTGCAGAAATCAGGCCGGAAGTTGCCGCCCAGAGGAGATTGCAATGTGCCGGAAATCTTTGTGGACTCTCGATACTTTCCGCTCAAATGTCATGCATGCAATTCATAGAAAAAGATTGGAAACAATCTCTACTTCTATATCCTTCCATCAGGAATAAAGTTTTATCAAAACTTGTCATATTATTCTGAGATTTACTTCTTTAATTTTGATCGGAAATCTTTCTCTGATGATTTATGCATTACTTAGAAATGGGAATATTGAAACTACTAAGTGCAGAATAATAAAATAGAAATTATTTTTCCAATATCTAATTTTGTTCAATAAACTAGGTCAAAATGAGTTACTCTAATGAAATATCTTTATTTTATTTTTTGTTAACAACAGTGTTTCATTTCTTCTAACGTAAAATAAAGAATCAAATCAGACCTAGGCCACCATTTAGCTTGGATCAATAATACTACCAGTAAGAAGATGGGTAAAGAGAATTTTCATAAGTCAGCTTGAACTAATTATAACCAAGTATGATCTAAACTTGCAAAAATTCCCGTATGAAAAAAATTCTGTTCCCCAAAGGTTCCTGTTGTGGGACTATTATATAGGGAACGTTTGGGGAGCAGATTTGAATTTTATATAGATGTATGAGCATATCAATGGATTTTTGAGAACGGGATGTTTATATTGCACTAGTTAAAATCATAATTAATGCTGAAATAAGAGCAAATTCCCGTTTTACCCCATTTTAGGAGTGAAATAATTAATTTTTTATAAGTTTGACCTGATTCCGTATTTGTAGGCATTGAGACGAAGAGAATGAGTGGTCAAACTTGAAAATCGGACAATTTTGATTTTTCGACCCTAAAAAATGGCAAGTGGTACCCCTTTCCATTTTTTTTGGCCAAAAAATAAAAGTTCTTCGATTTTGATGATTGAGGGCTCATTCTCTTTGTCTTGATGTGTAGAAATGCGGAATCGGAGCACCGGTCAAGAAAATTCACTTTACCACCCTTAAAAACGGGTTACACTGAATACAAATTATGAATTATCATCCCCTTGACTTTAAACCCTTATAACTCATGAACGGATGGTCCAATAATTGATTTTAGGGACGTTTTCAAAAGCTAAAAATCTAAGCTAAACATACATATCCATAAAAAATGTTTGAAAAATTTCTTTCACCCTTAAAATTGCTAAAATATAAAAAAAAATCCCATGTTTTTGGGAAGTTGCCAACTATTTTGGCCATTTTAAGGGTTAACGAAATTTTTTAATTGCCTTTCATGGATATGTGTTTTTAGCTTAGATTCTGAAATTTCTAAACAGCCCTTGAAAATCATTATTAGATGATTTTAATGAGAGTTATAGAGGTTCAAAGTTTAAAAGTAGATGATTTTTTGACCCTTACGCGACTTTGGACCTTCATAATTCTTATACAAATCATCTAATAATGATTTTCAAGGGCTGTTTAGAAATTTCAGAATCTAAGCTAAAAACACATATCCATGAAAGGCAATTAAAAAATTTCGTTAACCCTTAAAATGGCCAAAATAGTTGGCAACTTCCCAAAAACATGTGATTTTTTTTTATATTTTAGCAATTTTAAGGGTGAAAGAAATTTTTCAAACATTTTTTATGGATATGTATGTTTAGCTTAGATTTTTAGCTTTTGAAAACGTCCCTAAAATCAATTATTGGACCATCCGTTCATGAGTTATAAGGGTTTAAAGTCAAGAGGATGATAATTCATAATTTGTATTCAGTGTAACCCGTTTTTAAGGGTGGTAAAGTGAATTTTCTTGACCGGTGCTCCGATTCCGCATTTCTACACATCAAGACAAAGAGAATGAGCCCTCAATCATCAAAATCGAAGAACTTTTATTTTTTGGCCAAAAAAAATGGAAAGGGGTACCACTTGCCATTTTTTAGGGTCGAAAAATCAAAGTTGTCCGATTTTCAAGTTTGACCACTCATTCTCTTCGTCTCAATGCCTACAAATACGGAATCAGGTCAAACTTATAAAAAATTAATTATTTCACTCCTAAAATGGGGTAAAACGGGAATTTGCTCTTATTTCAGCATTAATTATGATTTTAACTAGTGCAATATAAACATCCCGTTCTCAAAAATCCATTGATATGCTCATACATCTATATAAAATTCAAATCTGCTCCCCAAACGTTCCCTATATAATAGTCCCACAACAGGAACCTTTGGGGAACAGAATTTTTTTCATACGGGTTAGAGATACATTATTTTCATTCTCCAGATGAGCTTTCGCTCATTCTACTCATCAGCTAGATGAAGATCATGCTAGAACTAGGTTACCTAAAAAAGTTCAAAAATTGTCTACACCAGTTCTACATCGATAAAACTCCAGCAAAAACATCCACCTTTATTGTAACAATTATTTGCTGTTAAAAAAATAAAAAAGTCTCCTTCAGTTTCTTGATGCCTGCTGCCAGCTCTGACAAGACAAAAATAAACCAACATGAAATTTTCCATTTAATTCCTTTCATAAAATAAAATTTACCATTTTCTATTAACTAGGAATTTCTTATTTCCAGCATAAAATTCTAAAATGACCGAGCTGAAATCCGTAAAAATTCTGAAGGAAAATCGATGTTTTTTAAAAGCTTTATTTTAGAGTGGTTTTAAAGTGAGAGTATCAACTTCATATTTTTACTGCTAGTGCAGCCGGACCATTAAACTCGTCGAAGCAACTACGTATATACACAGCACGTGTTGGCTGTTAAGTTGAATGAGACTTTTCTAGTGCTTACTATCATGAAATAGTCCTTGGATACAGTGCTAAGAGTATTGCTCTACATTCCAGGTATTTGTCTAGTACTACATACCTATCAAAGAATATGCTTCACTTCCTCTTTTCTGGCTACACAACTATATATTTAATTTTCCTCTAATTATAACATCGTCCATTTTACGTTTCTCATTGCCATTAGAGTTTATTAATCGTAAAAGTATTATTTATTTTATGCCTGACGTCTAATGAAACTAATTAATGTACCAGAAGACATACAAATTAATTTTATGTTAATTCTTCTATTTTATTCAACTATAAAGACTATTGTACAGCTTTTTATTTATTTATACTAAATTAAATATCTCTTCCTATTTTATATTTATTTTAATGAATTTTCTCAAGCTGTGTGAAGAGTAGGAAGTTCAATAAAATTTTCCCAAGTAAAATTATCTCATTTTGTTCTGACATGGACCTTCTATATTTTTCACTCAAAAAAAAGAGTTATTTATCTATTTGTTTATGCTAACCCAATTTTAAATTTAATATTTTTATTATTTATTATTTACTTTTTAGTTCCTCAAGATGATATTACTTTGAGTATAAAAAGATGAATATAAAAAAAATTGTTTGCATGTTTACTTATCAATGAAGACCCTCTGGAATCCTCTAGATTATAGCCATGATATATTTGTAGAACCAACTTAACAATGAATTAAATATTTACCAGACTATAATTTTTATATTATCAGGCTTTTTTCATCTGCTATAAAAGAGTATTATATACTTAAAGGAAGCAATTATTGGATAAATAAAAAATTGTTTGCTCATCAATAGCAATCTTTGATGTTGCTCACATCAGCAGCTCTATTGTTCAATACACTCTAGACTATTTTTTTAATCTGATCGCTTTTTTAGAACCAATTAAATTGTCCATTTCAATTTCATTAAATAATAAATAAAAATATAATAATGTGATAAATTTTATTTAAACGAAAATTCTTCAGCTTACTTATCTGTCTTGATTAAATGCTAGGTAAGGCAAAGTCTCAATATAAAATTGACTTGTACACACAAGGGTAGTAGAAAGGGTAAAAGAAAATCAAGCATCTTTTTCTTGAGTGAGGCTTTAATGCAATTGAAAACATAGCTTATCCTACAGGTATGAGAGTAGAATCGTATGCAAGTAAAGCTGCATCAGAAAAAGTAGTAGAAAAGAAGAAAAAAGGATCGATTTTACGAAGCGAGCAACGAGTGTGTGTCGCATCAGGGTGCAAAACAAATGAACTCCAAAGATGTTTGCATAACCCTGATTCCTCAGGGAATGTAGTCGATCGAATTCAAATCGAAGGAAGCATTCGACTGTAATACGAGCAAAAGAAAATTTACGAATCTAAACTTACTCGTTGCTTTTCACTCGATATTTACACTAGAAATATAAAAGAAAGCATTTTTTGAGTCTTGTATAAGATTTGGGGTTTTTACTTCAAGCTAGGATGCTCAACTTTACGAGGAAAACAGTGCAGTACTGAAAATCGTCTCCAGCTGCTCCAGAAATTTTTCAAAATAATAAAATTGGAAGATTTTTATTGATAAAAGTTCTTTGAAATTACTAGAAAAAAAATTATTTATCTAGTTTCTTGATGTATTTTATATCATTTATATCTAAAATGTTGAGAAAAAAAAAATATCCTGAGTGAAGTTTTAATAGGAAAAATCATTTTAAAACATCTTGAACAAAATTTAAAAACGAAAAGTTTGAACAATAAAAGTTCAAATAAAAAGTAGCTAGAATTTAAGTCCATTACTTCTTTATTTATTTATTTCTTTATTTTTTTCGTCAACTTTTCTCTTTCACAGTTCACTTGGCTCAAGAACACAGGACGCAGCAACTTCTTGTGCCTTTTATTTGACATCAAAGTTCGTTTGAAATGTTTCACAGACTGTGAAACAACTTGAGTGAGATTGCACAGGAACATCCTGTACTGTTAGGTGGGAGAAGAAAGATTGAAAAGAAAGATAGAGATTTGACGTACACATAATACGTCAAGGTATCAAAAGAAGTCAGTCAACTGTACTTCCCCATTCTATTCTCTAGTTATTTGTCAATGAATTTTCGACGCGTATTTCTTTGTATCAGCGACACTTCGTACAACCTAGGCTTCAAACAAAGAAAATTTATTTCAATGAAAAATTGTAAAAGCTATCGAAAAAGGAATCCTTCGCTGAATTCTTCATAATATTTTCTAGATTCCACTTCTTTCTATTACCAATACTTTTTCTTCTTTACAAATAATTCCACTAATTAATCTACAACAATAAATCAATTAATTAATGACATTATTAATCATATGATAAATAATTTACAGTTTGTCAAATTAATTTTATTGATTAAAAATAAAATATTAACTGTATACATAAATGTTTGTACGTTTAATAAACATGTTTCTACATTCTTAATCGTTGCAGAAATTAAATTTTTTTTTAATATAATAATTTAACATCATTTGTATATTTATTCTTATGGAAGACACATAATACCAGTTTACAGTGGACTTTAAACATTTTAAAATCAACTAATTATTTTATAACGTCTGCTTTATTCTGTAAACATTAAACGCAAATCTATGGCAATATATTGGCAATTAGACTATGTAACACACTGATTTTCTCCTCGTTAAACAAATCGAAAACATTTCAAGTCTTTTTTTTCTTAAATCTTACAATATTACTACATACATCAATCTTACTATGCGTTTTTTTTTTTACTCTTATTTGAGCTTTAATCGAATATTATCAAATAAATATAAATAATAGTACTGATTAGATATTAATATTACATGGTTTCAGCTCCATAAATTGGTACGGCACGTGAAGAGTTTTGTTATTATGCTCAACAAGAAGATGACCACGTCTTGGGGAAGCTCCAACAACAAGTACTGTTTCTCCTTTCAATAAAACCACTTCTCCTTCTCCTTCTTCTATAATTTATAAATAAATTATCATAATTAATTAATTTAATTTAATCCTATGAATAATTTCATCATTATTCTAGCAATAAAATTAATATTCATCAGTGTCTAAAAATGTATATATGTGTAAAATTAAAACGTTGTAATACATCTCTTTCCAATTTATATTACCTGGAAATGGCATTTTCATGACTCTTGTTTGTGGATATCCCAATTTCGTATTCCCTGTTACTGTATATGATCTACTAGGAGGGACAGGAGGTGGTCGTTCCTGGTAATTAACCAAAATAAACAATTTAAAATCTAAATTAAATGAATTATCCATAATGAATTATGGATTTTTGTTGATGCTCAATAATTTTATGAATATTATATAATTTTTTCCCCGATAAATATTAAAAAAAAAAAAAAAACAATGTTAAACGTACTAGATCAAGTCCAAAAAGTGTACAAGTTTGTTGGATCATTTTTTGATCTGCACACTTTTCAGATGGATCCGGTGGTGGAGTACCAGCAATAGGCTGTGGTCTTGGCCGAGCTCCGGTAACATTTCCAGCAGTAAGACTTCTTTGATGAGTTCCTGTACTTGAAGGTTGGGTTTGTGAAGGACCAATTGCTAAAGTTATTGGTAATGGAGCTCTTCTCATTGGCCATTTTCTGCGTACCCTCCAGCCTCTCCAGGTGGCCTAAATTACAAAAATACTTGATTATTTTAAATTACATATTTCTTTATACAATTTCTCTAATTATTTCGACTTCTTTTAAATTGATAAAACTTTTCGTCTCCATAATAATTATAATTATGAATAATATTTTTTGAAAGGTTTAAATGAAGTGAATAGCAATACCGTAGCAATTAAAACAACATGGAGGTAATAATCACAAATGGAATAAATATTTACTTGAATGACTGTAGCAGCTTTTCTTCGCGTTTCCGATCTGAGATTTTCCAACTGTTGGCGAATGCCTTCGCTTAAGAAGATGTGTCGCTTGCCAAGTGCCCAACTGGTGCTTGCTCCAAACTTGCTTTTCACTTGCTGTGCATTTTGTAAAATAAGTTTTGTGTCTTCAACAGCCTGCTCCTCAGATCGTCGCAGCTGTTTAAACGGAGCAATGAGCCTGTACCTAGTATTGAAAGCTTTGAAGCGCATTCTATGTGGATATCCTAATAAAAAATTATTATTTATTATTTGTTTTATCAATATAACTATTATAAAAATTAAATAAATAAATATAATATATTTAAATACAGAATAACATTTATACCTCCAGCCATAAGATTTACAGTTTCTAGAACTTGGAGTGATCGTATTTGCCGCATCGCAACTCCTCGGTCTAAATGTAAAGGTGTTTCAGTAGCATTACTTCTAATGCATCTCACAAAGTGAGGCCGTGCATGCACTAAAGTTCTAAGTAAGTTATCCAAACGTGTGTGGAAGTCTTGAGTAAGTGTAGAAATGGGTTCGTCGCCATTTAAACTAAAAAATTGAACGTTCCTACAGTTCATAGAATATATTTTACTATTATTATTTGTTACATTTTGAATAATATATATATTACTTAATAATTATTTCTACTAATAGAGCAATCCTAAACTTCATTCATTCACCATAATGATTCTCTACATTTTCGTGAATAAAATTATTATGACAACTATCAACTCAGATAGAACAGACAACAGATATTGAATAAATGCATCTTCATTAATTACTTATAACTTCAATGTGGTTTAACGATGAATTAATGCGACGCTCTAACCAAAGTTTAACCGCGGTTTATGACCGAATTGTGGTTTAAATACCTGAATACAATCAGAAATGGTATCAATTATTATAAACGTCGTCATATTCTCATTATTATTGGGCTCTTACGTGGTCTGTAGACATATTAAAAGAATTTATGATTTAAAAGTACTTTTAATATTTTTTTTTTCTACTTCTACTTCCTGTCAACGTGTACTACTTTTTTTTTTATATATGAAACTGTAGATTTTTTAAGAATTTTTAATCTCAAATACTCACAGATCTGTATGTGATGTTGGAGATATTCTGAAGCTTACACCCCGCGGCACTATGTCACTGGCATACAAGGCTTTTAATTCACTCCCAAACAAATGAGTTGCAAAGCCAAAGTTACAAGTATGCTTGTAAAAAACAGCCACGAGATCATCAGGCACAACGTCTTTATTTGTATCTAAAGAAAAAAAATTATTTTTTTTTTAAATGTTATGAATATGAGTATTTAATTTTACATGATACAATTTTTAATTTGTTATTTCAATATTAATAGCAATTTAAAATAAAATAATTTTTTAATTCATTATTTAAATACAAGCTAAAAGATTGTATTAAATAACTTGAAAAAAATGATGTTTACCTAGGAAATCCGTCGCATCGTAGACAACTCTACCAGCAAAATGTTGAATCCCGAATGATCTACAGTCAAGACTCCTTGGATCAAATAATCGTGGATTCTGCTTGTGTTGCACCTTCATTTTAGCTACGTAACTCTCAGCAGTTCCACGCATCGAGGATTCAACGTCTAGCATGCTCAGTAAACCAGTACGCTAATAAACAATCAAACAGAGATATATTTACTGATACGTATTTGCTATTAAATATTAAAACAATGTCATTGGTACTAAGGGTATTTATCAAGACTGTTTTACAGTTACAAATGATAAATAATATATTTTACTTACAAGTGATGATATTAGATCGATACAAGGCACATTGTCTACATAATCGACTTCAACGTCACACCTTATACCTTCATCTCGGCAACTTTCAATAGAACTCTTGAAAATATGGGTATTATAAAAGTGCTGCATCGTCTCAGCGCATAAATTTATGCAAAGATGCTCGAGTTGACTTGGTTTGGGGTCTTCGAAGCCGAACATATCGAGAATACCGATGAATCCATCCGTTGCGTGACGAACTGCGTTATTTAATGCTGCCATACTCCTCGAGCCTGTTCCACCTTAATTTATTAACAATAATAATAATAAAAATAATTATTTAATTATTTAATTGATGGTAAAATTTTTAAACACATAATTCTCTAACAGTTTTTTTTTTATTATTTTTATTCAATCATCATTTTTAATGTCCTGAGAATGAAATATTCAACGGTATTTTTTAATAAATTGGATCAATTATTTTTTCTTATGAATATGAATTATTTATGAGTATGTATAGCTTTTTTTTAAGTAACAATTTTTTATAATAAAATATATTAAAAAATGTTTATTCATAAATAAATAAATTACCAGCTGAACTACCAATAGTCGAGGCATGCTGGCTCGTGACTTCTGCTTGATTGTGAACTGATTCATTGGAATCTGACGAAAGTGTTCCAAGGGTTGATCCAAGCCTTTTCAAGCTGTTAGCTCGTCTCACAATTGTTGCAACAGTACGACAATAAAGTGCTTTTGCTAACGAATCTCTTGTCATGTTGGACTGAAATAATATTTTAAAATGACTTTTATATGAACTCTACAACCAGATTTTTATCTATTTATCACTTGAACATTCAAATGAAACTAGACTTTCATCAATTGTGAATTTTTGACTTACCATGTTGGCATCACAAACTGATTTCACGAGTTGGCCACGAGCATTATGAGTTCTTGACGTTAGTCCTCGTAATAAAGCTGGTGCTGGCACGCCCAGAAGAGCTGCGACTGATGCCAGCTCGTTCTCTCCTATTACACTGACTTCCACACCGGGACCATCCGTGAAACCAACATTTCCAAGAATCAAAACAGCTGCTAATACTCTTACTACATCTAAAAAGGGAATTCCCAAGACTCCTAGACATGCTTTCCAAGCTTGAAACCTTATTGCATCTTCTGCCTCATCTTGCCTCGTATCTCCATGCTGAAGGTACCTCAAGTTCTTTAAATTATATCCTTCTAGATTGAGTTTCACTGAAAAAATCCAAAGTATAAGATGATTCATTAATAATAAGTAATAAAACAATATTGAAGATAATCACTATAATCATATTTGATAAATTAATGAGCTCATAAAAAGAAATGATAAATATTAAACAATAAAATTATGAGACATTGATTTATTGATTGAGTGATTTAGTTTGCTTTTTTACCTCGTTCATCATTCGATAATCCAGCAAGCATTTGATAAAAAATATGATAATTCTTCTCGTCGGGAAGAGGCCTGATGACTCGAGTTTGGTCCAGAAAGTAACAGTGGATTTTAGTTCTATATAAGGCACCATCAGTTACTTGGACTTCAATAAAATGACCCTGAAAATTAAAATAAAATATATATTATTTTATCATTATTGTTTTTTCAACTTAATAAAATAAGTAGTAAAATTTTGAAATCTTTCTGACATTAAATCAACTCCGTTTAATTCAAATTAAAACAAAATAGTCTAGACTTTAGATGCTTTATCAGAGACAAAGTCAAAAGAGTGAGATTAAAAAACGCATAAAAGACAAATTATTACAATTCTAGAACTTTCTGAATTCGTAGCTGTCTTGGCAGATCCAAGAGACCGTAAAACTGTGAAAGCAGCGGCGAGATGTTTGAAGGCATCCGTTTCGGGACCACCGCCAGCGACGTCAAAGAGTTGTCTCAGCAGAAGCATTGAGGCATAAGTCTTTCCAGAGCCGCTGGTACCTAAAAAGAATCATGAGTTTTGTGGTTCGTTATCTTCCATTCAATCCAATTTAGACCCACACGACAGCCAGTTCTGATATACAAAGCTGCAAATTCTCACCCGAAAGGATGATGGCTTGTGGGTAACCAGTCTCAGACTGTTGTCTCACAGCTTCCTGCACGACCTTGTTCAGCTGTGGTGCTAGTGGCACGGCTCGAGTGCTCGTCAGTGTCAGAGGATTCCCTACGTCAGTATATGGGTTGATACTCACTAGAATCGGACCTACATTTGTCTAATAACAAACAATTATTCAAAACAAATCATTAATTCCATTTCTCTTCCATAATTGATTGAATATTTCCTAATATTTTTATTTTCAAAAAATTAATCAAACATTTCTTTTTGTTTTTATGTACATCAGATGGAGTTGATCAGAAAGTATTAAACATTTCTGTCACTGAATTAGAAATAATTTATTTTATTTATACACTAGGATAATGGTCTACTTAAAAGGATGATTTAGATTGGCATCATTAAAAAGTGATTATTTTTTTACAGTAACAACATTTCCATAAATGATTGTTGATGCCATCTTACTTTGACGTTCTTTGTAAATTTGGCAAAAAAGATAAGACGAAAAAAGCTCGACATTAAACCCAATGAAACCGGTCCTACATAATAAAGAAAGACTAAGGAGTAAAGAGAGTACGGAAAGAAGCTCATAAACCGATTACGCACCTGCGGGCACGTACGAATAAGTATTGAGACGACTTTTGAAAGAGGAAAAGAAGACTTGGGAGTCGATATCTGCGGTTGACGGTGACTTGGCTGTAACACCCATGACACACAGGCAAACCCAAGTAACATAAAGTAGAGACATGGTACTTTGCATGCGAGTAACGTAAGCATCTCTTGTCAAGATCTTTAGCTTCAGTTCAAAAGTAAACCTTTAACTGTGACATAAAATATTTCTTTAACATTTTAGTGCCAAGTCTATGATACTGATATAAATTGTCTGCCACATCAGTTTACAAAAATTTTCAGATTTCTGATGTTATGTTTATGCTAATCATCTTTTCATTCGCATGTGGAATCAACAATATCTGCTTATTATCACTCTATTCTTGTGCCAGAGAAGGAAAAGTGATTAAATTGAGTGATTATTTTATGTTACAATATTTTTTTTTTATCATTTTAAATTGATTAAGATTTCAAACAAGTTCATTTTGAATTGATTATTAATCTTCTTTTTTCAATTGAAACATGAATACAATTCTAGCAATGATCACAGCATCTAATCAGATTATACCTCAGCATGATTTTAGTTTTGATGATAGGCTTGCTAATATCTGCTATCAATAACTAGTCAAGTGATAAGCCTTCACTAGTTAGATTAAAATCTTGATCATTTCTGATAAACCATCATCATTCATGCTTTCTGTAGGCTCAAGGTAACTTGATTGTTATCCAAATCGACTTTTAATCAATTCATATAGATTAATCCAAGAATTATAATCCAATAAATATGTCTCTTGATGACAGCTATGAACTATTCATTACTGAATGATCTAAAATCCCTCATTTTATTTCATTTTCAAATGACTTGTTCATTTTCCTCACGTTTATTCTGATTTCTTGCTCCGGTATTTTGCTGAAAGAATGCGAGCATGCCACCTGTACATAAAACGAGTACAGAAAAGATATACAGACACGATCTTTACTTGGATATCACATCCAAGGAAGGAAATGATCGCAGTTGTTTGTTCTTTCTCACTCTCAGTTCTTACGGCTTATTCTTGTGGCTTATGTACACACTATGTCTTCTTATGTACGAATGTATGTTCGACTTAGTCAATGTGTTTGTGCTCAGAAGGCGGCACCCTTCAGGCTCTCGTTGCTCCGTTTGCATTCTTTACAATCCCAAGAGTGAACACAGCCCCAGGCGCCGCCAATTCGAAACGAAACTCGCTAGCGGGTCTCATTATACATGTGTGTACTCGAATGAAGAATCAAAGTATAGGTAAAGGAGTCGTAGAGTAGATTAAAAAATTTTTAAAGAGAATTTTTAAGATCTTCATAACATTGAAGAATACTTCCAACAATTTATTTCACTTTTGATATATTTTTTAACGAAAAGATTAATTCCTTTTACTTGCTTTTACTTTTAAAATGTAACAATTAAGGTTTTATAGTTATAATCTGAGGAAAGATGATCCTAGATTAACTATTTTAATGAAGATAAAATCTTGAGGGTTTTTTTTTTGTTTATAAATGACTTTATTCAACTCTCTATAGAAAAGTAATTCAATGGTTTTTTTCTCAATCAACTTACTTCCGCTTTGTAAAAAATGTTTAATCGTTAGTGTTTACGTTCTTTTTAAGCTAAAAGTACATCAAGTAATTGTACAAAAGACCAAGTATCTTGAATTTCTTCATTTCCTTTCAGAAATAATTGAAAAAATTAAAAACACAAAAATTTTAAATAAAAATTATCTTTAAGAATGATTATTAACAATTTAAGTGAAAAGAAATTATTCTGAATGGGAAAAATGTCAAATTTTTTCCTCTGACGTTTTTTACTAAAGTTTTTTTGAAACTCGTGAAAAAAGTAATATTAAAAATTTTTTAATAAAATATTATTTCACTCGAAATATACTCTTATCCTTTTTAAAAGCCATTTACATAATTTTCTTTAACATTTTGAAATACTTACATGATATTGCTTCGCACAAAATCGTGCTTGAAGACATTTTAATACTGCATCTTCAGTCAAAGGTCCTGGTAAGTGAATGAGGTCTTCTACTGTCGTAGAATTACCATTTGCGGTCTGAGGAGATGTCTTTGAAATGCATCGCTGAGGTATTTGAGTTCCTTTACTACCTTTTACGTCTGCGATGATCCTTGAAATGGGTGGTGACCGCAGACTACCCAATGCTGCTACGCATGAGACGATTCTGTCATCCGAACGTTTTGTCACATCCAAATCTACAAATAAAATAAAAAAAAAAATCATATTTTTATCTCTCTTATTTTTTACTGAGTGCTCTTTTAGACTTTTAATTGGCTGTTGGTTTTCTTTGAAAAATTATCCATTTACTTAGTCATATTTTTTTTCTCAATTACCAGTTAAAAATTACCTCTCTTTTTGGAGTAAACATCTAGAAAGAATATTTTTTATTAAATATTTTTTATCCTAATTTATTTATTGTAACCTTTGCAATTAATTGTTTTATTAGTTATTTAAAAAGAATTGCCATTTTATTATTTGTACTTTGATTAACAAATAAATGGATCATTGACTTTTAACAAGTAAAAAAATATGTTTACATTCAACTTAATTACTTATTTCCAAATATTTGTAGAAATTTTAATTACTCATATTAATGGCTACTTTTTATTTTTATCAATAATTAAGCATTAAAATTGAATAAAAATAAAAAGTATTAATTTTGAAAGACATTTTAATCTATAATTAGAACCAAAAGCAAGAGAAATAAATGAAAAACCAAAAACAATTTTCTCTAATTGAATAGAAAAATAAAGATATTTACAATTCAAACTTAACTAGTAATTTAATGTAATAATGAAAATAATATTATATATTAATAAACAATAAAATGTCTAGAATAAATTCAATACCAGACAGACGTTAATTCGAAACGCGTGCGGGTGTTGACACGTTGAAAATGCCGTTGGAAACGCGGAAATTAATCGGGGATGAAGCTTTAATGAGAGGTAGATAGGGTGAAATGGAAGGACGGTGTCATCCAACGGAATATACTAACCAGATATTAAATTGTTTGCGGTAGAGTTGTGGCCGAGATCGTTGGCAGTAGAATGATTGGCGTGCGGATGGATAATAGCGGAAGCGGTAACAGTGTGCCCGGATGAGTGTCCAATTGGATGGGGTACAGGGTTTCCATGAGACAGAGCATTGCGTGGTGGTACAGCGGGTGCTGGTGTCGTCACTGCACCCTTCTCGCAACTTGAAGTTAAACCAACCCCATTAACAGCACCACCAGCTCCACTACCACCACCTGTACCTCCTGAACTATTTCCTGGTTGACTCACGTGCAGACGATTCCTCAACGTCACTAACTCAGTACTCAAGGTCTTTAGACGCTGTTGGAGATGCGAAGCTTCATTTGAGGATGATGCGTCTAGAATTCAATAACCACCTATTTACTTTCGTTATATCTTTATTCAACTCTTTCTTTATCAACTTCCAAGTTAAGGGAAATTGATGTTATCAATGTAATTAAGGTGTCAATTGACGTGCAATTAAAATGACATGGTTATATTGGATTTTGGTGTGATAGTCGTGTTTTTTGCTTAAATAAATAAACTAACAGAGTTAGGAATTTTTTCCCCTGCTAAACTAATGATGCAATTTGCATCTTATCAACTAGAAATACTTCGCTTTAGCATGTAGGATCATTGATAGCAATTTGACAACAATTTGTAAACACTATTTTTTTTATTGATGAAGTATATAAATATATACTTTATCAGACTTTATCTCAAATACATAAAAAGAAATAGATTATGATATGAAACATTATAAGTCATAATCACACATTCATTGATAACAATTCAATGTAGCACCTAAAATTGATTGATCCAAATGACTTGCTTGAGCAAATTTCTCTCTATCCTTATCTCAATAAATTTAATTGATCTCATTAATCTTTTTTTTTTATATTATTATCAAATATTATTAATGAGTATAAAATATTATGAACAAAGATTGAATGTTTTTGATAAAGGTTTAATGTTACTGAGAAGTTGATAGTATAGAGTTGTTGGGTCTTACTTATATCACAGCTTGTTATAAAAAATATTTTGAATTGTCTTTATGCATTACAAATTTTTTCGTTGATGTCTTAAGTAACAGAGAAGTTGAAAGTAATTACTCAGGATTTTTGTAATTCGATATGACAAAGAAACTTGATATGATTTTTTTTAATTGAGAAATCAAACCCCGGTTTGATCAAGCGCATGATCAAAAGTTAGAGTTTATTTATCAGTGCATAAATGATTATTTGTTGGTTTATATTTGCAATAATTGAATAGAAATGATAACAAGATTACAAAAAACAATTGCCATTTATTCTTTAACACATGTAAATAATGATTGCATTTATGCAGCAATCAACGTGATATATAGCTTAACACTTTCTCAAGACAAACAAGTTCTACGACTAGCAAGTAAACTCAAACTGTCGATTGTCTAAATACTATTTCTCATTCCACAACGATTTTACATTAACCCAAGACCTCTACTAAAAACTCAAACAATTATTTTAGAACTCAATAAAATAATTAATTTAAAAGGTTGAAATCTATTTAATCAAATCAATAAGTTTTAGATATAAATATTGAGTAGAAGAATAAAAAGGATGAAATAGTAAAAATTTATAGAAATATTTAGTAACTCTTTTCATTTAAGGTAATTTGGCATGCTCACAATTGATAACCTTTATTTTGAAATTAGTCTCAAAGGTTATATTTCTATAAATAATGAGAAAAAAAGAGATTTTTTTACCGCATTGTTTAACAATCTTCATTCAATTTTATTAGAAATTGATGATTTATTAGCAATTGACCCAGTTGGCTTTGCTTTTCCGCCATATTTGCAAAAATGGCGGCAATGCTAATCAAAACAGTTTATATAAATAAAAATTTTTTTTTATTTCTCATAAACAACTGTTGTATTTAATTTATAAATTATTATTACGAATTATTTACACATACTATGTAGAAAGTTTTTTGATAGATTTCGGAAAAATAAAAAAAAATCATCACTATTTTGACTACCAACATGTGGATGCCAAAACTACCTCAAAACCACAAGAATTGCTGATATTTCTAGGTTAATTAGAAAAAAAAATACTTAAGTTCAATACATTATCAAGCAAGTTTGCTGAATTGAGCTCTTTATTATGCATCTTTAGAGTGAGATGAATAATATTCGATGTCCGAGCAATGAGATAAGAAGGCTTCCAGAGTGGGCCGAGTTAGCAAGTGAAAAGAAGCTGGAATGAAACGGTTGTGAAGACAAACAGGTATTCACAAACCTGGTCCTACTACCCAGAAATTAAAGTAAGCAGGTATCAGAGGGCTCGTCGGTCTGGATCTTAAAGAAACAGGTTTATTTATTTATTAATTTTTTCTTTCGATAACCCTCTTCGCGCCTGGTGCTTTAGCCAGCACTAACAACTTATGAATCAACCTTGCACTCTGTAACCATCGCAAAAATAATCGCAAATGTAAGTACAAAATAAAAGATAAGAAAATTGAGAAGTAAGTGGTTAATTATAGCTTCATTAATACACTATTTTGTCAATATTTGATTGATTAATCTTGCTAATTATTCTTTCTGTGAATTGATCAAAAATTCCTAACATTCCACTGATACTCTAAAAATTAATTTAATAGTTATTTAATAAATAATTAATAGTTATTAATAATAAGGGTCTTTGGAGTCAGATGTTTAGTAAAATAATTTTATTTAATTCAAAACAAGAAAGTTGTTAAAAATAATTGAAAAAATAATAGCATCTTTAGCTAGTGTATTTTATTTTTCCATTTTACTCCAATAAAAAATATTTTTTAGTTTATTAAAGCGATATATAAAATGGCTGTAAATAATATTCTTAATGTTGAACCAGCTGTAGGAAAAAAAAAATATGTTTTTAATAAAATTCTTAACAGGACCGTCAGAACAATACACAATTCGTACATTTGCCCTCAAAAAAGTCTCTCTGGTGCAGTCAAAGTTTATGTATCGCTGAAAACTATAAACTGTAGCAATACACATCGATGTAATTTCCCTTAAAACTTGCCAGCGAATTTAAATGCCAATTTACACCCGAGTTTACGGAGTATTTAATGTACCTGCGCACACACACCAAAGGTTTGATAGTTTAAAGCTGTACAGATCTAAAGGGTATGTAGAGAGACTAGAATGAAATACGTTTGTTTTATGACTTAGGTACATACATTGGTGAAGTATCTGATATTACGAATAACTCTTGGAATTTTTATTTCAGCTGGTATGTACAGATTTCTGGTGCTGCCACTCACGTCTTGGCCTCTTGCGTGAGGATGGAAGGAATGACGAAAATTTATCAGGGTGTTGGAATAGCTTGAGATGAAAACGTAAAGAAATGCACTGAGACTCGTGTGGATATGTTGGGAGAAAAAGAGGGTGGTAAGCGGGTAGTACGTGCCAAAGCCTGCTTTGCTTTTATATGTGTATTTCAAGTACAGAAACACGGAATGTATGCATCAATGTTATATATATATATCTATATCATATGTATTGAGATAGATACACATAGAGAAACAGCACACATTACTGATGTATTAATGTGTGTACTTGCGACTCAGTGGATATACTCTAATCTCAGTAGCGAAGCCTAAGTGAGGCCGAGCTACGCTGCTTTGCTGCAAATGCATTTGTGAAATGGCTCTGTGGGTTCAACTGATAAATGCACATCTAATTTCAAGAGGTTTATTAAGCAGTGATTGTTTATTCATTTTATTCGTATTTAAATGTCTCATCTAGTCATCAAGAATAAAAATTATTCATTTCACAGCTGAGATGAAGTGGTGAGCTCAATTTACTCCAAAAAGGTAGACTAGATAACTGAGCAGAATGATAGTTAGAAGGTTGGACAATTAAAGTGGACTTAAAGGCTACTGAAATAATTTTAAGGTAAGAAAGAATATAATTTTATGAATGAAACTGACCAACTTGAGGTAAAAATTAAATATCCATTTGCAATTTACCACAGAGTCATTTTCATTTGATAATTTTTTGCATGCACTGAAGATAGAGATTAAGTTAGTTGATGTACTTAATATTGTATTTAAAAAGAACATGTTTTATCTATGTCAATATTTCTCAAAGTAATATTATTAAAAGCTTATTTATCTCACTCAAATATAATATTATTAATACAATTGTTATTTGATGAGTACTATTTATTTTCCTAACATAGTTTTGTTATTTCTAGTATATACTTAAACAAACTTAATAGACGCTATTACACTAATAAGTAGTGTAAGTAGATTAAATGCAAAAAAAGAGTCTCCATCAAACAATAAACCTTAATATTATAAAATTAGACTTAATAAAGAAATTCATTTTTTTCCAGGGATGTTTATTTCGAGCATAGAGTGTATTTATGATGGAAAAAAGAAGAAAAGAAATGAACAAATGACGTGTCCAACAATACATTGGGCGATGGGAAATTCTCATGTACAATAGCGAAAGTAATTATTACAGTAAGCTTCGTGACCAGGTGCTCTGTGATCGCATGTTATGTTAACTCTACGTATCTTTTGCTTGAGGGAAGCATAACGTGATGGAGAACGATGGAATGTGATATCAAACTGGATGATCAAGATTAACCAAATGTTGCCTTTAAATACTTCCGACACTGACTCTCTAGACTATCAAATAGGGAAGTTTATGCACTTGGATTAATTTGATAGAATCACTGGGCCCCATAATTAGCGAAACGCTTGTTTTTGGATTTAACTATGTAGTGTGGAGATTAACTGATTTGGAAACTGATTAATTCAAGTCAATCATCAAAACTAAACCTTAAACATTCGATTATTTTTTGATCCATAAAATGAAAACTATTTGAAAGCTATCGTTTGAAATGTTATTTTTGTTTGTTAAAAACATTTAAAAATGTTTAATCAATAAAACAAGCTTTGATTTAGTGATTATTGAGCATTAAAAGAGTTGATAGATTTTTATAAAAACATGTTGAATGATGTAATTGGACATTTTTTAAAATTTGATAGGAAATAACTAGTTGATAGAGCTTTCAGCATTTTAACGAGCTGTAACTTATTAATACCAGATATGTGTTTTCAAAGTTATTCAAGCTTACAGTTTAAAAAAAAATTGTTTTTGATCTGTTTTAACTCTACAAACCCTTCAATATTTTACAAAAAAAGATTTTTAATTAAAAAAAAAAATAATTTTACATTTTAAAAAAAAATTCATTTAAAGTTTGCTGATGAAATTAAAAACCACAATTTGGAAACTACTTTTACTAGAGTGAGCTTAAATGAAAATATTTAATGAATGAATAATAATAAAATAAAGTTAATAATTAATCTAAGTCAATTAGTCTTAAAACTAAATTCACTTTGTTATCGTGATCGCACCCTAATTCATGGTTGATTATAATGAGGTATTAATTGGGATCTTTTGTTTAAAATATCATTAATTCTAGTGCACTTGAAACTTTGAAATAAACCTCTCAGCTCAAAAAGTTACTTGAAATTCACTTTAAAGTAAATTATTGTTCATAACCGAAAGTGAATAGAATATAATTTTTAAGTATACGACCCTTTAGTAGTTGAGTTTTAGATTGTTTGATATGAATACATAAATTTAGTCGACATTAATACCTTTGATAGCACATATGTATAACATGAAAACTTGCAATCCCTCCATATCGTGTACCTCGTGCACACGCTGCTGTGGCTACGCGTGGACGTTATTGAGGTACCAAAATTGAGTTTACAAAGTTACTGTTCATCATCCTGGTCGATCCAACTTATCAACGTGATACAATTATTAATTTCCAAAATATGAATATTAATTAAAACATTCGTGTATATATTTATGAGTAATTCGATATTTAAATTTCGAATAACTTTTAATCTGACTAAAAATTTCATAACTGATTTCAATAGTTATTATAAAATATAATTAAATAGTAAAATAACATTTATCTAACTAATTTTTTTAAATTATAATTATTTATCTGATTATTTGTATTAGCCTTCATTTATTTCAATTATTTTTTTATTTTCTAAACATTTATAAATAATTATTTATATTAATTCCATGAATATTTGATAAAATAAGTTTGATTTGTTAAATTGTAATATTTTAATCAAATATAATATTGAATAGATCAAATATAAAATCATCAAATCAAAGCTATATTTTTTTATTCAACACTAAAGTATTTAAAATCCTTTCAAATAAATAAATTGTTTTAAAAAACAAGCTATCGTTTTATAAGTAAATAAAATACATGTAAAGAATAATGGTGGATATTTTTAAACAAATAATATGCTATTATAAAACAATATTAAATAATAAAAGAAAATTGGAAGAAGATGTAATAGTAGAGTTTAAAATTTAAAATTTCAACACTTTCTCTTCAGTAACTTTGTATTGTTCATTATTTTATAAACGATCGTTAACAGTTTAAGACTGAGCATATAAAATGTGAATAAATCACACTAAAATAGAATACGAAAACTGCGAAGAAAAGCTGGTATTATGTTTTAATAGATCGTTTGATTTGACCGATGGATGAAGATAAAACAGAGTGCGGTATCATAAAATAGGTATCTCGTCAAGTTGAGCATGGATAGAGGTGTATATAAAGGAGGTAAAAGATGTATATACATAAGAGTATAGGTAGAAAGACTCAGGTAGTCTCTCAGTGAGGGGCAAGTAGTGAGAGAAGAGATGAGGAAGAATAGTAGTGATGGCTGAGTAAAACAAAGCAAAAATGAAACCGAGCGAGAGGTCGAGGATATTCTTCTGATCTCTACTCAGGTTGCAAACTGTAGGCAGTTATACTTTTGTACCTGAGGTAGTACCGTAATGTTATTACACTTGAATTTATTTTTTATTAACCTTTCTTTTTTAAAAAGAAAAAAAAATAATAATAATTTTCTATTTATTTTATCTATTTACTTTCTCAACCTCAGATTAACTGTTAATTATTTTTTTCATTTATTTTTTATATAGATAATAGTATTTATTCCCATTACCTTGAAGCTTTTTTTCAGTCTCCCAAAATTTCTGGAGCTCAGTAAAGTACTTGTCTAATATAAAAACCTTGGAGAGGCCTAAGGTGGCCATCTCATGTGTTCTGGTTTCAAAATCACCCAGAATTATTATCTCGTACTTCCACTATTTGCAATTAAATATTAAACAACCTACATGTCACTTAAAATAGTTAAACTTGTCAACTTTTCAACAGCACCATCTTCACCACACTCGCACATTTTTTTCAAGTTGTAACTCAACTTAACTTTCCATAAATAATGTGCAAAAAAAATTAATGCCATTTTTTTGGTGATTCAGTTGACATGATCATGCAATATCAATAACTGTCTCGCCACAAATAAATAATTTTCTGACATGAAAACGATTTAGGAAAAAAAAAAGTTCTAACTTTTAGAAGGGTTTAAAAAGTAAACTGAATAATAATAATAAAAAAAAAAAAACTTGGCAAAAAATAACCAGACTTGTTACACAAAATCGACATATAATTCCCAACTTTTCATTGTATCCACCCAACTTGTCCTCAATTTAAACTTTTCTACAGCACGGAAGGTATTCAATAACGACGGTGTAACTCAACAAAAACACTGGCAACAACAACAAACAGTTTTCCAATCAGTCTCTTTCATCCCCCACGCATTCAAACTTTAAAAACGTCACTCATTAAATTTTTAAATCACCCTTGAAGCAAATTCACCTGTGAATTATTCCACTAAATCCACCAAAATGTGCACGACATTGGAGCATAAAAAATGCTAAAATTAAGCGAGAGAAACTATAATAAAAGGCCCATGGAAGGTTCGAGTCACCGAGTAGAACTGGGCGTCATTGTTGGCTGTAACCCACCGGTGAGCTGGGCCCGATCTCTTCTATGCCCTGTTCGAGTTAACTCACAATCAAGCGGGTCGTCAGGTGCTGGATGAACACGTGGATTGACCGCAACTCGAGTTAGCAACGAGAACCTTTAGACTCCTGAGCGAGGTCCGGGCCTGGATCTCCAGAGTGGGGTCGTCGAGACCTCGGGTCTGAGTATTAAATGGATGCTGTGGGGTACATGCAGACCAGGTATCTCTTGGTGTGTATACTATTGAAATACGATGCTTTTCTTCAGTTCATTCAAAATCATTCAATTAGAATACTATTTTGGCAAACAATTATTTTTTCCTGTTAAACGACACTTCTTTCAATGACTACTCATTCTTGTGGATAATTATTCTGTCTTTGAAGACATAATGTGTTACTTTTTTTTTTACAACTATTTATTTTATCAATCATTCAATATATTTTTATTTCAATAAAACATGGCAATTAATTTAGTTTTATTCCCATTGAGAATTAAAAATATTTTTTCAATAAAAAATGATTTTATTGAGATTGTAATTTATTAATATTAACCTTTTGTTCACAAGAATGTTTCACTTGAATTTTATTATCTATTGTTATTCTTTTGAACAAAAGGAATTTGGACCTGATGTTGAGCCAATTTTTTTGATTTCATTACTCATCGATTTTTATTGCACTTTAATGTACGTTCCCTTTCAAATAAAATTTTTTCAGATATAATATGCTGAATGAGAGGCGTAAAATCGACTCTACAGTGCCCCTCCCTCTTTCTATAATTTCCAAACACAACAACAATGGAAAAAAAATTGCGGGAAGTGAGTGTCCATGAAGACATTAAACTAAAAAATATAATACTAAGCAGCAGAGTTTATATCCTTTCTTGGAATTAAAATAAAAATACTATTTCAAAGACAGTTGAAAAAAAAGGGGCAAAGCTACCTTTATAACAATATTTTTTTGACACTACCTTGTTAGGTATTTGAAGAAAAAAAAAATTTTCTTTCTACATAATACTATTAAATTATTCAATGATCCTATGATTCACTAGGTCTGAATGTGAGAAGATATTTCCCAACTAATTTTTGTGGTCCAATTACTCCATTTATCATCCAAACAGTTCATCAACAATTATAAAGAATAGTTTTTCAATTATTCAATGAAATAAAAAGCTACAAATTGAGACTGGTATTGATAATTATTTTGTTTGATCTAGAAAAAAAGATTCTGATAACTTTCAATTAAAATTGTAGACACATACAAATACTTGACTCCAAAAACTTTGCAAATTAGATATCATGAAATGAGTCTTAGTAATTGGTAATAATAATGATTTTTTGTTTTAAAATAAAAAAGTCATTTTGGAAACATCAATGTTTCAACAAGAGTTGACTTAATGATGGGATGTTGGTTGCAAATAAATATCAGTTGCAAAGTAAAGACCAACTATGAGGATAATTTATTCATCAGTATGATTATATCACTAGCTCTTACAAAGTCAATGTAAAAAGCTGTTCAAAGAGTGAAAAGCATGACCTGATGTTGAACCCACGCATAATCAGTCAGTTAAAAAGACAATGTAATGCTTGAAGGCAGTTGGTATATTTCTGGGCGAACTCTTGGACGATTTTCAAGTTGGTTCCGCCTTATAATTTTCATCTACAGTCGTCCAAGAGGAATCCAACATGGCGAAGGACCATGGGCATCCCCATGTATCGTAAACAATGCACACAGAGACCCTGGACTACTCTCATCTCACTCCTTTTCCATTAGCAAAGACTCCAGTCAACTAATGCTGTCGTCCTCTTTCATGTTCGGTTCTTTCAGCCCCTTTCTCACTTACTTCTCTACACAAACCAATGCATATAGGTTTTATGAAGCAAGAGAGTGAGCACAAGAGATGCTGAGAACCTACACTTCAGCAACAGAGGCCGTCGACCACATTGGATGACCATCTCCAATGCTTCTGTCCCTCCTTCACGAGTGTTCTCTCTTGTTGGAGCTTTCTCGCCACTTGGCTATGCGGATTAACTTTATTTACCTTCAACACCGCACTCGTATGGTGATATTAACTTACTCCTATTTATTTTACAGCACATTTTAAATTTCATTTATCCATAAAGCAGCATTTTAAAGATCTTGCAATTTTTTTCTGGCTTGGATCAGACCATTTTTTTATCAGTCTCTTGATTAATTGAATCACTTTCTTCATTTTTGTAATTAATCTTTGTTATTTCAACTCCCCTGGTCCAAATAATTTTCCTGTAATTGGTACCAATAATGGATTATTGTTCAGCATAACTAGAACTGAATAATAAAGT